ATATTTCCATTATTAAATAAATAAATTAAAATAAAAATGCTCTTAAATATAAATATATATTATTATAATAATAATTACCATACGCATAAAGCTACGAATTGTGAAAAATGCGAATATTTTTTTTTCTGTTGGGTTTAGATATAGGACATATATATATAAAAAGAAAGGAAATTACATATTTTATCCAATTATGTAAAAATATATAGGGTGTTCCATTGAAAAAAAAACAAGATTTTAAACCTTTAAAATCGCTATTTTCAACGGAGCATTATAAACACCCTGTATAATATATTATAAAAAAAAAAGATTTAACTTATAGCTTGGTTATTATTAAAGAGATGAATACTACATAATATAAAAAATAATAAGTTTTATTTGTTTATTTTTAACTTTTAGCGAATGTCTACATTTAGAGAAATTTTGATAAATTTTAGTGTTACTCAAAAAGTAATAACATTTTCCTAATTAATATATTTACAAAGTATACCTAAAATAGTGTGTAGAATCTAAAAATGCAAAAAAATACAGAGTGTTCCATTAAAAATAAGAAAGTTGGTATCGTCCCACGGAAAACCGAACACCCTGTATAAATGAAAATATAATATTTTAAAAATATTTTTTACTACGTGAATATTTCTCCCTTAAACATTTTTTGTGACTCCAGTAGTTTCTGAGATAAGTGGGTCACCTTACGTGGACCACCCTGTACCTTGACGGCACAGTCATAATTTTTAGGTCACTAAAGTATTTCTTGGCATCTTCTCTATACCCTATTTTTGCAATTACTCTTATTGCTCTTCTTTGTAGAGATAAGATTTGTTCTGCGTGGGCAGTGACCCCACATGAAAAGTTGTTAGAACAAAACTCTTTTCAACCAATCAGTATTATTAAGTACATTGTTTTCGTTAGTTTATTTGTTGTCTAATTCACATGACGACCAAACTTAAGTGTTGGGTCTAAAAAAATGAACGATATTGATTCGGAAAATATGCGGTTTCAACAGTTTAGTGTCATACGTGTCATACTGCCCAAGAAGATAAAGCAGTTCCTTGGCCACCGATATCGTGTAATTTGACGGCACTTTTATTTATTAAATTAAAAATTTATAAATAATTTTTTGGGAGTTGTAGGCTAATAAACCTCTAATTATAGACTGTTAGTTAAAAGTTGTAAATTTCCTAATAATCGAAGCAACGTTGTTTAAATACAATAATTAATATGTATTAAATCTCACAATTGCAATTGACGCTTTAACAATTTTGTAATTTTTTTTATTTGAAATTTGGGTTTAATATTTTCCTAAGTAATGTGCAGCAATTGCAAATACACATGATGAAAAATATAAGCGATTGCCTCACCCAAATGTTAAAAAACACCAGTTACAGGTCCAGATCAGTGCAATGGTATATTATAATAATAATATTATTAATAATATTATTATTATTATTAATTATTATTATTAATAATATTAATATTATTTACAAATAAAAACTTAATAAATAATAATATTCCAATAATTATAATAATTATAATTACGACGGTGGGCTGGTGGTCAGTGCTGCTGACTGCAAGCTAAGAGGTCGTGGGTTCGAGTCCCACATTGGGTTGTTATTTGTGTTTGTAAGCCTGCGATCCGTTTCTACACCCTAACGTGCACAGGCCATTTAGTTAGCTTCTGGGACTAGAAAGTAAGGGTTAAATTAAAAAAGCACTTTTGATAAACCTTTTTGTATACAGTGTGTATTAAAACGAATAGATACACTTAAATAAAACAAGTGCCAAACCCCGCCCACTGTGGTAGGGATTGAATTTGTTAGCTTGCCGTATATTTAAACATTTAATTTAGAAAAAAAGTTATTTTCGTTATTTTAGAATTATTTTTGTTTGAGAATTTATAGGTTTTATTTTTATCGAATTCGTTTGTTTTGTTTTAATGCATTTCTGCAAATAAAAACTAAGTATTGTTTAAAATCCATTAAATTCCAGTTAATAGCGAAAATGTATTTCTTAAAAACTATACACATTTCTCTTCGACAGCGTCGGAGCTACTGAACAAACAGTAGATCAAACTGCATGCCCTTGTATCTGGCTGCATGCCGCGCTGTTGCCATATGCTATTATTGTTTCCTAAAAGGGTTGTTTTTCTTATTTTTTAATATTAAAAGTAAGAAAATTAACTAAATCAAATTATTTTTGACATATTATTATTTTTTTTGTTATTTTTAAAGTTTCAAAAATATAAAATTAAACTATTTATTAAATAAGTATAATCGTTCTCTTCTGATTTAAAACAACCTGGCAACTATGGTTCGTAATTACGAATGGCTTGGTTTAAACCACGCCCAATTAAAGTTTGTTTCTTTTTCTCTGATCAGAATATAATTTGTCATCCTTGTCTCCAGCCTTACTTACTTGATTCTATACAGTCTGTATATAGGCAAGTAAACTTGTCATAAAGGCCCGGAACAGGATCAAAAAACACTGTGCTAAAAAAAAAGCTGGGTTGAGAAAAATGAATATGTATTTATTTTTTCCAACCCAGCTATTTTTTTGTAGCACAGTGTACAGTAACACAAAAATATTAGTACGTATTTTGGGCTTTGATATTTGCTTATATATATTATACTAATAAACAAGATATTAGTAAATTAACTTTTTTTGGAACGGACCACTGTGCGGTCTGCTTAGTTCTCGGTAATCTACCCCAGTCGACGTTGTGGCATAGGGCTTTACACCTCCCACTTTTTCTAAGGACCTTTCACCCATCAGTAGGGTCATTAGGTTGCATTTACCCCCCTCGACCTTTCCGGTTTCCAGTTGGTTCTAAGCACACAGCATCCGCAGGAGCTCGTTTTTAGAACTAGGGGTTAACTTTCTTTCCATGGAGGCGATTTCCCCCTAACACCAACGAGACAACTTCTGGTTCACTCATCCGTAGGATGTTCTCTCGAAAAGAGGGACTTTTCCTTTTCGGGTATTTTGGCTATTAGCCATTGCTTAAGGAGCTTGGATTGCTCCTTATAGATGGCACTGTAACTCGCCCTTGGTTTCCCTGTTATACTTGTAGAATTAAGGGAATGTAGAGTTTTCTCACCACTTGGAATGTGTATCTAAGTCTAGCCTTTACCGATCTGTGGCAGAGCAGAGTCTCGGCCAAACAAAACTACATACATACGTTTCACTTTATTATTAATATACATTTTACTAAAAATTTTATTTTGAAAAATTACTCCATTTTTTAAGATTGATGTTATTTATTGACAGAATATGCTTTATAGTAACGGATTTGAAGTCTAGCCTTCCGTGGTCCTCATGATACGTGCCTTACGTGCCCCGCGACATTCCGAACAAGTGGTTTTAACACCGCTTGCTTCCTTTATGGCTTTCAAAGGCCAGTGTCTGTTTCCAGTCCTGGGTCTCCTCATATCCGCCACCTGGAAACGCGCCACATAGGTGGCCCAATAGTTAGGTCCACCAGCCATGGTTCCGCCTGCGTTGGCCCCAACAACTAGTGGTTATCCCACAGGGTTAGCTCAACCTACAGGCACCACCATCTTAAAGTTGTACAGATAGTTCATGCACCCTGTATATAGGGACGGCAAAACAGACCTATGAATGTCTATATATTTAAATTTATGGAGTGTAAATTAAAAAATAGCGGCATTCAGAGGTTTGTTTTGCCGCCAAATAAAATGCCGCCTGAGGCAAGGGCCCTTACGTGCCCTCCTAGATCCGGGCCTGATAGCAGCCAAAGTTTAAAAATCAAAAGTGACTTTTGTTTTTGAGCCACCAAAAATATAATATATTTCTTTTAATACTTTACCTGCTTTCTTGGACCCTTGTTTAGATTATAGTTGTTGTGATTCCTATTTTTGGTACACAAAAAATGTATTTCCAGAGTTCTTTAGGTACTAAGTATAAAAACCCATTATATTTATATTAATATTATAATATAAATATAAATATAATGTGACAATGTATTGTATACACCATATTAAAACTTAACGTAAATGTCTGTACTACAAAATAAACAGGAAAACTTTTTATTTTACGTAAACGTTTCTTTAATTTTATATAGTGCTGAGAAAAATTCTCACCTCCTAATTTATCATTTCCCTTCTAGATATCTTAATTTTTTAACTACATATTCAAATTACCCATTATTAAAATTAAATTGTCTGTTAATTAATTTACACGTGTTCTTATCTTGTGTGAAGAAATTTGGTATTATTTCCTTAATATTTTTGTATTATAACAATGGATAAATATTATTATTAGAAGGGGATTATTTAAGGTGATTTAAGGTCACTAAATTAAGTAAACACCGTCAATAAAACCAATAGTAGAGTACCCCATTTAATATTAAAATACTTGAGTAGCGTATGTAAAATATAAGAAAATAAAGAACAAATTTTGAATTGTTTATTGCTTTGTGTAAAACTGTCTATCAACATATTATATAACTAGAAGCATTTCTAGTAGATAATTATAATTAACAGTTATAGTTATATACATTATTTTATAACATAACAAACTAGATAATACTTCATTTACATTTAGGTTACTTTAGATATAGAATAAACAAAATAAAGCATTCTTGCATAAGCATATATCTAATTTGCTTTCGGATTATTTTTACTCGTTACTTTTTGTATTTTTTGACCAACATTTTCTTATTTTAAAAAGGCTATTTTGGTCAATTTTCAAGATTTTTGTTATGGAATTGTCGAATAACACTGTTTAGATAAACTAAATCAAGGCCGAACTTTTCAAATCACCTACCGTTTTTTTCAAGATATTTGCCATTTTTTGTCTTTTCAAAGAAGTTTTTCAGTGGTATAAATATTTAAATAAATTTTAGGTAGAATACGACCTATTTAAAATAGATTTTATAAAATTTATCGTTTGACTTGGATTTTTAATCAGATACCGAATTTGAGCTCAAAATGTTTTAAACAGAAAGTTATGTTTCGATGTAATAAAATATTTTTTATTTTTAGCTTCACGCCCAAAATCTGTATTCAGAATACCAACATGATTTATGGAAATACTTGGAAACACTTGGCATATCCAATAGAAATTTAAATTTTGATACCTATAGACAACTACGATATTTATCAATAGTAGGACCTTCTGCCTTAAATCCAGAGCAACTGGATCGTGTAAGATGTCTAAAATGTATATTAGTTTATTATATTAATATTTTTAATAATTTTTAGTACAATCGCCTTATCAACGATATGCTTTCAATATATAACACGGCTTCAATTTGCTCTTATAACGATCCTCTACATTGCGGAATGAGGCTTCAGCCGGAATTGACAGAAATTATGGCCAAAAGTAGAAATTGGGAAGAACTTCAACACGTGTGGACAGAATGGAGAAGAAATTCGGGAAGAAAAATGAAGGATACTTTCGAACAACTAGCGTTTTTATCAAACGAGGCTGCACAAAAAAATAGTAAGTAAAATTATGCATAAGTACTTATGGATTTTAAAATATTAGGTTTATAAAATGTTGATTTGTATTTATGTATACAGAATCCATGATTTTAAACAAAAAGCCGGAGAAATTTTATTTGTATGCATATACAGTGTATATTATACACGGTGTCCCAAGTATATGCATATTGTAACATTAACATTTATTATTTAAATAAACTTTATAATTCTTATTTATAAAATTGTCTCCTGAATCCGAAAAGACAGTAAAACATTATGAAATTAGTTGAGATATAGTCAATTCCATTTTATATGGAAAATTTATTATAACTCAAATGTTGTTCAATTTTTTTTAACTTTTGACGACATTTTCGGATTCAGCGGACAATTTTACATAGGAATTGACTGCTAATTGTCCAGGATACAAATTTATGATGACAAGAATTATTTTCAATTATAATTATAATTATTAGTCATTTTTGACTAAATCATTTTTAGAGAGCGTAGCGTGGCCCTAGGCTTTAAAATATAAAAAAGGTTTATTGTCTAAAGGCTTTAGGCCCATTAGAGGTCCATTAATAATGTCTAAATTTTATTTTATATAATTTTGAAAAAATATGAAAAAATTAATTCACTCTTAAATGAAGGGGTCAGTGCAAGAAGTGCCTAAGTCAAATTTTCAATTAAATTGTTATTGTGGCTTCTTCATCTAAGAGTTTTCACGTGAGTTGAAAACCAGGCAAACTCCCATTGAAGTAAATGCAAACTAAGGCACTTGGGCACATATTTCGGCCATTTTGAAAATACCACCTGAAACCTTACGTGAAACACTCTTAGATGAAGCCACAATGTAAATTTAATTGAAAATGTAACTTAGGCACTTCTTGCATTGACCCCTTCAAATGCAAGCGACTAAATTCTAAGAACAGTTTGTCCTGGTAAATAATTTGTGCAATTTAAAATTTAAAGGTCTATAAACTACGAAAGGCCAAGTTATTTTTTATTATAGTTGAGATAATTTTGTTTTAAAAGCATACAATTTCTTACTATTAATAAATTTACTAAACATTATTAAGATAACAATTTTGAACTTTTTTATAAATTGTTGAAAAAATGTAATCCAGATAGTTTGTACCCTAAGTACTTACAATAATAGATTTACCTTGGATGAGGTGAGTAATACCCATTAACTGATGCATTAATATGCATAAGAAGGACACTATTTATTATAATTATTGTATGATCCATATGAGTGTGACTTGCATTGAATAATTAAAATAATAATTATTAATAAACTATAATTATTTATTAATATTATGATTTGTAATTCATAAACATCTTGAATTTCATTATCATATTTTGTCTGGAGGTATAATTATGTTTATTACTAGTATACGCCAGTTTTGAGTTCTTAATTTGTTGAATTAAAACAGTTACACTTTTTAATTAATTTATTTTTTAACAATGTATTCAGTACAACAATTGAAAGAGAAGTGATGTGATAATGTATAGTCCCGTCCAAGGTAATCGGTTGCCTAGTCAGCAGACGTAACTCCTCCCTTCTTAGCTCGAAGAGCGGATTCCAAATCTTTGAGGGTAGGTCTCTGGTGGAACAGAACTTCTTCAGAAGATGACTGAGGTGTATCCTAAGCGATACTTTAGTGCTGTTGATAGAGTATCTTTCTTCATCGATGGTTACGTCACAGGGGCTTGACACAACTATAGATCTGCATTCGGGAACAATGGTGTGCCCTGTACATATTTTTTGGATGGTGGTGGATTTGTATAGCAACATTTCGTTTGAATGAAGTTGATATCTGATCGGGTGATGCAGCCAGACAATTTTCTGGCTTTATAAGGGAACATTTCGAAAATATTTCCCCGGCGCAAATAAAACCGTTTGTTCCTTCATGACAATTTTTAAACCATGTCCATTAGAATAGTAATTTGAAGGTGGAATAATCATAATATATATGATTTTCTATAGTGAAAATGTTTCTTTGGATAAGATCGGAATTTTAAAATTATTGAAATTAATTGATCAGAAATAATAACAACTGTTTTTGATCGTTCTATTAATTCATAAGAATGAATAATTGGTCTTTCGAATAAATTGATAATAAAGATGATTCTACAGAATTGATTTCGCTAATTTCAAACATTTCTTCATTAGAATATCCTAACTGTGAGAATGAAATTGTTTTGAAAAGCATTTCAACAAAATTTTGTAAATTATTATAATTTTGTATTAAAAGTTCTGTTCTTCAAATTTGTCAAAATCATGTCGATATTCATGGGAAATGTCTTTATAAATTAAATGTTATTATTTTATTATAGCGGTCGTTTGTTTCTTTACAAAATATTATTAGTTTATTTACGTTATTGTTAAGGGCATTATGAGCATCTGTCAAATTTTCAAATTTTCTGTTGATTAAATCAAGATCCGATTGATCTAAATTGCCAGTGATAAATTTAACGGTTGAACCAAGAACATTGATTAAACCTCGTTTTGGCCGATTGCGTAACAATTTATTAAGCGAACATTTTGTGTCTTCCCCCTTGAAAAATAGTTTTTAATTAAAATAAAAACTTAATGTATACTTCTGTAACAGTCCAAACATTTTTGTAATTTTTATGACATATTATAAGTTTTTAATACTTTTTAGCAAAACATAAAATTGTTTAAGTTGTAGTAAACTTCAAAAAAACAGAATAACTAAATAAAAAAATGTTGAAAAGAACTTTAAATCACATTGATCACAAACTTTTTTTAAGATTTCAGTGACACCAGTGAATTTTGGAATTTCTCATTCGATCCATCGACAGATTTTTTCGAGGAAGTTTGGGAAGAGATAAAACCTCTATACGAATTGCTGCACGCGTACGTTCGCCGTCGTCTCCGGGATTTTTACGGTCCAGATAAAATTAGCAGCCAGGCACCGCTGCCTGCTCATATATTGGGAAACATGTGGGCGCAATCTTGGACAAATATTCTGGAGATAACACAGCCATATCCCGGACAAAATTATATCGATGTCACACATGAAATGAATAGACAGGTAAACAGAAAAAAACCTAATTATTATTATTAGGTTTAAAATAAAGCTATAAAGCGGAGGTAGCAGTTTAATAAATTTTAGTGAAACCTTTGTTTAATTATAAAGATTTAAATTTAAATTTGATTAACAAACAATAGCAAAGATCAAAACTGTCTTAAAGTTAATGTCATTGTTAAGGGTGGTAGATAAGTGATTAAGCAGACATAGTATTATTTTTACTGTGTAAATATCTTAATAAAATAAATACGTAATTTTAACAAAAATTAAACTATGGTATTTTTCTAGGGTTATGCCCCAGAAGATCTATTTAGACTAGCAGAAGATTTTTTTCTCTCGATTAATATGAGTGCAATGCCCCTAGAGTTTTGGAAAGAGTCTATTTTTGAAGAGCCATTGGATAGAGTGGTGGTCTGTCCTCCATCTGCCTGGGATTTCTGTAATGGAAGAGATTATAGGTAGATTATACACGGAAAGAAATGTTATGATAAAATAAATCAAATCCATTTATTAATTTAAAAAAAGTCAAAAATTATCCTAAATAAATTGGTTTAATCTAAAATAGAATAAATCAAGAAAAAAACTGACAAATCTTAGTGTTTTATGATAAATCTGTACATTTCGCAAATGATTAAAATTAACATCATTAGATAGACATAATCGTTTAAGTGCTACATTTAATAATTTTTTTTCTAGGAACAGTAAAATTTTAGATTGGTCACAGAAAAAGTTTTTCTTAAACCAATAAAACATTAAGATTGGCTTTATGTAACGTAAAGCTTAATTTTCATAGGAAAGATACTCAGATCAACTCTAGGATTTTATTATTATATTTCAATTTGGATTAATTTTATCAAATAATATATAAATAAAACTAAATTGATTTAACTTTATTTTTACTAGTATAAGTAAGTACAGGGTGTGTTCTTATAAATAGGACACCCCTATAAAATCTTTATTAGAAGAGATATCAAAAAAATTGCTTAGAATAAAAAACTATCTAAATATTCAAAAATATTCCATTGAAAAAAACAATGTTTTATATATTTTACCAATGCTTTTTTTGTTTTTAATTTATGTAAAAAAATTTTGGATTATTTCTGGATTTTTTAATATCTCTTCAAATTTTAGAGGGATGTCCCATTTATACAAACAATAGGGTGTTTTTGATAAAAACAATAAATTAAATGCTTAATATCTATACATGTTTAAATTAAAATAATCCTGTCTAGATTAAATTATTAGAAAAATTTACTGAATTTTAGAAAAGAGCCTATGAAATGTGTACAACATTAATCAAATATAAAACTAATTCTATCCAATTTTTGATACGATTATCCAATATTTGACTGAATTAATAAAAGTCCGCTAAAATCAAGCTATTATTTTGACCAAATCTGTAATATAAGCAGCAAATTTAGCAAACATGCCAATTTTTAATTTTTAACGCTTTTTTGTTTGCAGTTGCTCTTCGCAACAGGTAGTGTAGTGAGTTGTGAAAGAACGATCGTGTCCAATCCTCTCAATACAGATTCCAAAACAGTTTATTTTGACTTCACTCTCATAGTTTTGGAGATATATGTATAATACATTTTATTAATTTGCACGTCTCAGTTTTGAGTTTGTTTGAACCATCGTGATTATTAAGAATAATATGTAAGTATTAAGACTAGGTAAGTAACAAATAAACAATTTTTATAGGTATGTTCCTACCAAGCATTTTGACTGTCAAGTGGACGTCAGAGACATGGATAATATTGAATTCGAACGAAAATCGGAACTGTTAAAATATCTCCGGCCACATCTTTGATTTATTTGCCGCCGTTAAATTAAATTTAAAGAGTTGTTTTTTTAAGTTTTAAATTAAACGCAATTATTTTAAAACTTATACATTATATTGGTCAATTAAACATAAAAAGCAATTGTTAAACCATTATTATTTTTTTGTATTTTGTACCTACTGATAAATTATTATTATATTAAGTTCTTTTTTTATAAAAGTTTGTAAACTGAAATAAATAATTATTTATAGACACAAAATTTAGTATACTTTACTTACCCCACTATCACAGATTATTACGAAAATCAATATTCCAGTCAATAATCAAATATTGAATAAAATAATTAACACATCAAACAAGTTTTATTTAATTATTAGATTAAAATATTAAAAAATTTGATAAATTTAATATATTTTTTATTAACTATTTTGCACGAATCAATCAAATGATCTCATAAACTTTATCCTAATTATTCTTAATTTTGCCAAATTTTTGATAACTACTACTTAAAAAATAGATTAAACTGACCTAAAAAGAGCTTAAGTTAATTCAAAAATTGGTAAATTAAATAAAATATTATTTAAATTCTAGAATATCGAAGACCCATTTAATTTAATTTTTATTATTATTATTCCAAATTTTGTTGTGATTTATAAAACTAATTTGCTGCTATTTATCACGGTTTGATACATTTAAGCATAGCAAGTAATTTAATCGAATGAATTATTGATATTAGTCTAATTTTGGATTGGCGCTATATTGATCAAAAATTTGATTGTAATACTACCTTAGCGGATTAATTGTATTCAAAATTTCTTTCCGTGCAATCGTAGGAATAGTAAGCTATGTTCACTCATCACAAAAAGACTCACTTATGACATAAATAGCTATTATTTATATGTAATTACCTATAGGTAATACCTACATAATATTATACATATTTTTTTTATAATATAATACTAGGTAGTATTAAACTATGATTTAATTTTATATCAAACGCTGCAGCGCGATGTTGATTATCTTAATTTTTTTTTCATTTTATTATTTTATCTTTCCTTAAAAGAAGGATATAAAAAGAATATTATTTAGAATATAATTTTGAAATTACAAAGTTTTTGTATAAAATAACAATAAAACTAACTTATTTTAAAATACAAAAAAAGCTTTTACAATGAAAACTACTTATATAAAGATTAAAATTATTTAAAAAGCGTGTTCTAAATTTACTATAATCTGTCAAATTAAATTAAAAGAAATGATTTTTGTTTAAATCCATACTAAGTGCTAAAACAAAATCAAGTGTAGGTTCAAACTAATTTTTATTTTATATGTATATTTTTTAGGATTAAAATGTGTTCCAAAATAACAATGAGGGATTTAATTAGCGCACATCATGAAGTTTCTCATATCCAATACTTTATGTCGTACAAACACCAGCCAAAAATATTTAGAGATGGTGCTAATCCAGGTAATAAAACATTAATAACAAAACAGTAATTTAATTATATTTTTCAAAACTCAAGTATAAAGTGTGACCTAACAACAAAAAATAATTTTAATTAAATCGTAAATGCGGATTCGCAATTTCAAATAAAATTTTAGAGGACGCTTGGCAAAAAGAGGAATTTTGATTTCTTCTTTGAGTGCTTTAAATGAAATTATTTTTTTTGTTTAATGTCAAACCCCGAGTGGCAGAAAATATAGACCAATTAAAATTAAATTACATGCCCAAAATCAAATTTTGAATAAAAAAATCCCTTTTAGCATTTCACGAAGCCATTGGTGAAGCAATTGGATTATCCGTCATTACACCGAGTCATTTACAAAGTCTTGGATTAATACAAAATTCCGTAGAAAACACAGCAGTCGACATTAACTTCCTCTACTCGATTGCACTGGAAAAGTTGGCTTTTTTGCCTTTTGCCTACGTAATGGATAAATGGAGAAAAGACGTGTTTAAAGGCGTAATTAATAAAAACCAATACAACTGTCATTGGTGGATACTAAGGTATTAAACATTTAGAGCGTGCACAGTTTATTAATAAAAATTGTGTTTATATATTTTTTTAATATTTTTAAATATTAAGTTAAATATAGTAAATTTAATAATTTATATTGATAAAGGTATAAAACTTACATCAGTAGAAATATTGGTCGACAGCAATTTTGACACATGGTTGCAAACAACTCTTATAGGATAATTTGGGTACGCTGATTTCAAAAATGTCCCTTATTTTGCCTAATTAGCTCTTGTTTTTATGATATTGCGAAAGAAAAGTTTTTTTACATGCAAGCATATAAATACAGGCTCCGATCTGTCACGTGACGTTTACACGCATATTTCAGCAAATATCTTGGACAAAAATCTTATTGTTTTTTTTGTTCCATAAAGTTTTTTTCTACCTTTATTATTTTGGAGCTATAAGCATTTTAAGGTGTCTGTCACGTTACACTTTTTTTTAAGTATCTGTGTATCTACTGAACCTATTGCATTTTTTTTGAGTATGTTAATGTGAGAGATGAAAATAAAATTTAATTTAATGTTGAAAAAAAATCAATTTTTGTAGCTTTTTGAACAATATTACGTTACATTGAAAATATCATACATTGAATAGCTATTAAACACGTACCTAGAATTATTTTATCCAAAATCGGCAGTAAAGTAGTCAACAATCGGCAGTAAAGTAGAACTTTACTGCCGATTTGCGTTTTAGGTCATGCATTAATACTCATCAGATTTTGTAGATGGTTGCTCCTTCCACTTGGTTAGACTCGTTTCTTCTTTAAACAGGTGATTCCTTGACTTGTCCCGTGTCACTTAATTACTTCCGTGTCCGTATGGACTTTTCCCTGTATTCACTTGTTGAGAGATTGCTTTTTGAGGCACAATTTAATGTTTCTTTAAGACTTTGGAGAACAGTTACACTTATTTCAACTGTACAGGTAGTAAAACTAGTAGCACTAATTTCACACTGTTTTTTTTAACTATACTGTATATGAGCGATTTTTATGTTTCTTTAAGACTTTTAATTTGGTTCGGACTTAAGAGCTCTCGAGCTCACACAAATGTTCTCTTCCCTGTCTGATTTGGGATCTCAGCCATATATATTGTATTAATTAAATACTTTAATCGAGGATCATTGGTAATGTAGCTATGGGTCCTAATTAAACTAAAAAAATTAATAAATTATACACATGCCTAAACTTTTTTGCAATAAAGTAATTCGCCTTAAAAATCCTGCTTTTAGCCAAAAAAAATCTTTTATGGCAAAATTGGACAATTGGACGTTTTTCAGCTTCAGTTTTCGTCCGATTGTACCCCTACAGCACTCAATATTTCTGCAACTTTGTAGCAAGATTGCACGGCGAAATTGCAATATTGTAGCTCGGAGTCGGCAACTTTTAAAATTCAATTACTTTTTCTTTGAACCCAATATTCATTGTGCGATATTTTACAAACAGTGTAATACGTTTTCCACTATTTTTTTAATTTAGTACCTTCTGTGCAAATTTTTTCTACCATTTTTTAAATTTTAAAAATTGTAAACCTTTTGGAGATTTTAATAATTTTAAAGATTTTAATATTTTTAAAAATTATGAAAATTTTGAACATTCTAAAAAAGTTAAGTTTTTTAATAAATATTTAAAATTTTTGTAAATTTGTAAAAATATAGAGCTGTTTCTATATTTTTTTGACAAATTTTAAATCGTCCATGTATTTCAAAATAGAAAAAATACATATTAAATTTGTAATCTGCCACCTCAAAAACCACGTTGCCAAACATATTTTTTTTTGAAAAATGCACGCCATAATGGATTCGCCATTTTGTTTTTGAAAAAGTGGATATCAAATTCTTAAAAAGTGACTTCAAAAATATCACAAAATTTCACCCAAATCCTTAAAGCCCTTTTCGAGAAATCAATTATTTTTTTTGCAAAACACACACACACTAACACATCGAACTTAGCTTTAATAAATCCCCCGTATGAAAAACTTTAAGTAAAAAATACCTTAGGATGAAAATATAGTATAATATAAAATGATTTTTTTTGTTTAAAAGTAACTTATGTTCTCTACATTTTCTCAAAAAATTATACTTTTTCATGGATTAATAGTAATTTAAAAAAATTAAAACATCAAATGCAAAAATCCTCTATCTGGAAAACTTCTCGTTGTTACAGGCAATAGAAGGAAATAAGTTAGGACATTCAAATTTGGCATACATTTTTTTATATTTTTTAAAAACAAATGAGGGGGCGGCATGATTAAAGTTTCGACATTGGTTAAATAAGAACCACCCTATTAATCAGGTTATAGAAAAGGTACAGAATGGTGGGTTAAGCACAAAAAGTTACTATGTTACATTTGAGCAGTACAAGGATTGAGAATAGCAAATTATTAAGATTATAGTGATAACAGTAAAAGCAAAAATAGGTGTGGTAATAACTAAAAGAAAATGGTTAAAAATAACGTAAAATCCAGCTAAACGTAAAAGTGTAGGATAAAATACTAATAATAGCAATAATTATATTAACAAGATTAATGTTAATAATTTAAATAGGCATAATATTACGTTTAGTTAATTTTAGTACACATTTAGATAGATTAAATATTAAATATTAAGAAATAACCTTGTAGAATACGCAAACAACACTTTTAACAAAGATTTTAGAAGTTTACAATAATTTGGTTTAACAATTTTATCAAGGAAAACGATCTGTACGGTACCAAGTTCAAACCCACAGACTGTATTCAAACCGCTTCTCCTTGATTTCTTGCTTTTGTTTAATCGCTTCGTGTACCTGTACCATCATTTCTTGTACCATCTGGACACCAGATTTTTAGGCAAATTCCGAAAAACTTCTAATTTTGTTTTTACCTTTATTGTTTCCTTGGTAAATTTTCCACCTAAATTGTATTTTTGTTTGCCTTAAACTAAAATTTTATAGCATAATCCTATTTTAAAATTAAAAGTAAAATATATTTATAAACATGTATTATAATAAATTTATAATGGGGTATATTCACGGAACCATTGCAATATATCTGTACCTCAGAGCCATCAGGAGTTAAGTCAAAAAAGTTAATTATGCGTGGCGGCCATTTAAAGATGAGCCGGTGTTTTATTTTACTATGTAACTTATAATTTTTCAATAAATGTACATTTATTGGAAAATTGTAATGTACATTAAATTTTAGTTATAAAATAAAGGACCGGTTCATCTTTAAATGGCCGCCACGCATAATTAACTTTTTTGACTTAACTCCTGATGGCTCTGAGGTACAGATATATTGTAATGGTTCCGTGAAAATACATTACATTACAATATATATATATATGCAAAGATACTAAAAGAAATTAATTAACAAAGAAAATTCTATTAAAAAACATAAAAATTAAAGTAAAGTTATAGTAAATAATAAAGAAATAACAAATTCTAAAAATATTTGTAATAAATTTAATAGATCACGGGTGTACTCTATCGATAGAGTACGCCGTGAATAGATACTTTCTGAATTTATTTAAAAATCGCACAGCCGCAAAATATAAACAAGTTTCAAATTCTCATCTTAAAACTTTTTATTTAAATCCTGTAATACCTAAGGAAATTATTGACAAAACAACAAGAAAACGGATTAGATGAGGTAACTGGTAGAATTTTAAAAGCTTGTAAATTGTTGATAGCTGAACCATTGGCATTTTTAGTGGATCCACTCTCATTTAGCATTAAAAGTCTCAAAATATGTTCCAATTTTTAAGAATAAAGATAATAAATTAAATAAAAATAATTATCGACCAGTATGTCTGCAAATACAATTTTGTAAAATTATAGATACATTATTTTATTTATTCTTAGAATGTTTTTTATATAAATTTAATATATTGTAATTTGCAGAATGGATTTATAAAAAATAAATCCACTCACACAGCCATAGCGTACATGTTAAATTTTATATTGGAAGCACTTAATGAAAAACAGCAGGTCATAGGCTTCAAGCCTAAGCCTGTTTTACGATCTAAGTCGTGCGTTTGACTCAATATACCACAAATTGTTAATAAGCAAACTAGAGACAGCCGGTATACGAGGAGAATCAAATAATTGGATAAGTTCTTACCTACATATTAGAGCACAAATTGTTGTAGTAAATAACGAAAAGTCCGCAAGTTCCAAAGTATATCTGGAGGATACCTTAGGGTTCAATACTGGGACCGCTTTTGTCCTTGTTTGTTAATGATTTAAATATATGTAATACCTACTGATAAAAAAAGATTAATTTTGTATGCGGACGACACAAATTTAATTACAAAGAATAAAAATATAAATCAATTGGCTTTACAAGCATCCTCCTACTCAAATGATTTTAATGAGTGGTGTAGAGAAACTTGACTTAATATAAACAAAAGTAAAACATTTTACATGCGATTTTTGCCCAAGAATGTAACACCAATATATGTTTGAATCCTTTGAAGGTAAATCTATACAATCAGTGGATTAAATAAGATTTTTGAGATTACATTTGGATAGAAAGTTAACTTGGGAGGCTGGGCCAGATTAAGGCAAAAGATGGCCTGTGGCTAAACAATGTAGGTGGCCCTTAAGGTACTTTATTAAAAGCCATGTAATGTTTAGTATTAAAAATAATAATGCATCTTAATTTTAAATTTATTTAATTATTGGAAAAAAATGCCAAAGGTTAGTGTTTAGCAAGTTTACACGATCATTTCTATAAAAAGTGAATAATACCTACAGCGCTCAACAAAATTGCTAAAACAATAGTTTTAAAATAAAAATGAAAAATTTTGGTTAAAAAATTTATCAAAAACAATAAACTATATTAAATTATACCAAATTTTAATTTTATTTTATTCTTTTAAAAAAAATTCGTACTACCAATTTGATACCTACATAAGTAAGTATTGTTCATAAAGAAAAAATGAATATTAATATTGTTAATTATAGTATTTAATTCATTGCATTTTCATAGTTTAACTTTAATAATAATCAGGGGCATAGCTACCGCGGTATCAGCCGTATCAATGATACGGGGCTCCCGGCCGCATTTTTCCGTCTCCTAAAGGGCTAGCGCAACCGAGTGCGCTGATCGTGTAGGATACGGAAGCGAGACCTGTATCTCCGTTCAGCAAAGTATTCCTCAAGGTTATGACGATTAGCTGTCATTTTGGTCATGCAGGTACACTGCATTGTGCCATACCAAACTAACCCAAACTTAACAACCCAACCCAACCGACCCCGCCCCATTGGGCTTCTCCCGTTCCATTGTCACAATCCAGCCTGCCCTTAGATATATTATACCTCTATAATAGCAATAATTGCTCAATGGGGCGGGGTCGGTTGGGTTGGGTTGTTAAGTTTGGGTTGGTTTGGTATGGCACAATGCAGTGTACCTGCATAACCAAGATTCGTCATAACCTTGGGATACTTTGCTACATTTAGCCTCTAGTGTATTATCGCGCTATAACGTGCATACAATGATTCACGCCTTTAAGACATACGTCAATCTGTTTGTTTGGTTATTATTATTATTATTTTATAAGCACACACAAAGAAAGATCACCTAGAAAGCTCATTGCAGAGTGCTTATTCGTATGCGGTGCGTTAACCACTTAGGGAACGGAGATGCAGGTCTCGCTTCCGTATCCTACACGATTAGCGCACTCGGTTGCGCTAGCCCTATAGGAGACGGAAAAATGCCTCCCGGCCAGGGGGGCCCCCGATTGGCTTCGACATGCGTAAGCAAAAAACATATTACCCACATGTTAAAAAAAATGAGGCATGAAATTAAATAAATAATATTATTATTTATATGTTTATACTTTGATTTATTAAATTTTCCTGAATACCTACCCTCCTATTCCAACGAGGCCGTGAACTCATACGTATTGTTTCTGCCCGCAACTTTCCGCTATGCGTTGTCTGCGGCGCAGTCTCCTCATATTGTTCTGTGCTCTGCGCCGCACACTGAGTCTGATAGGTTATATTAATAGCAAATTATAAATAATTATGAGCGTTACAATTATTTCAAAAGACTTGTCTTTATTTTAAAATAGAAGCCTTTTAAAAGATGTTGAAGAACGCTAAATGTCTAAAAACAGACCAAATTTTAAAATCTGCTTGTACCGTAAAACAGCTTTAGCTCAATTTTAAACTTAAGCTTAAAATTTTTGTGGTTTTAACAATCATAAACATTAAATATTGTATACCAAAATTTGAGTTGCTCTTTCATAATAACTATGTTATAATATTACGTAGGGCTGAGTTTCAAAAATAAAAATTACAAAACTGGGTGTGCAAAGTTACCCCCTGGTTGCGGGTAACTTTGTCTCACAGTGTATTTTCCGTATAAAATAAACCCAATATTTTATTTTCATTAAACAAGGGATTACCGATAAAAAAATTAAAAATCGACTAAAGGATTTCGCCCAATATAGAAATTGTACCTCGTGTATTTCTAAGAGTTCGGCACTGATGCAATATAATAGTATATTATGTATCAAGTTTGATAAACGCCATTTTATAGACGAATTGTATGAGTGTATAGAAAAGTTTATAAACGAGGTGCATACTATACTTTTACTACAAAAAATACTTATAATTATCTTAAAATGATTTAAATCAAAAATTTGTATAGAGCGCCATCTATTAAACAATAGGGGAATCTGTGTGTCACCGTCAAATGTCAAATTTTTATATTTTATAAACACAGATTATAAATGTTATTAATCGAAATGTATTTCTTTAAAATTGACAGTTTTTCACAGTGAAAGTAAAGAAAATGTTTTATGACCACTTTACAGTGCCCGAATTTAAGTTATAGTTTACTGCCGGCGAAATTAAAAGGTCAGTACAATGTTCATATCAACTTTTCAAATATTGGCGTTGAGAAACTATTTAATACTTTTGTATTTTTGTATTGATATAATAAAATAATTTTTACATTTAGTATTATTTTACAAGAAAGGCACTTTATTTTAACGATTGTATGACATTTGACAACTGTCAACTAACTTAAAACTAACTTCAGCCCGTGACTAAAGCGCCATAAAGCCACAACTTGTCAATTTGTATTTAAAAGGTCATAGAAACATGTACGATAAAGGGCGTTTTAAAGGTGGGAGTAGAAATACAATTTTAAAGTGTAATAAATCCCATTTATTTCTTTAAAACACTGATTTTCCTGTAATATAAACTCAATAGAATCGCTCAATTGGCAGGTTTAGACCAACAAATTATAAATGTTAATTGTATCGAGCGCGAGAAGATTTTTCATAAAAAGGTGATATTATTTATTAAATTATTAAAAATTGGTAAATGCAACAGAATGATACACTAAAAAAAATTTTTATTTGCCCAAGGTAGACTTTGGGCGACACCCAGAAACTTTTTTGCCAGCAGCTTTTCCCGTATAAGGGCCCCTACCAGATTTTTGATACAGGGCCCCCTCGAGGCTAGCTACGCCACTGATAATAATCAACATTTCCCATAAATATTTTTTTTAATTTATAAGTTGAGTACTTTGTTTTTTTGTATAATTTGTTAGTTTTTTACCGTATAATAATAATAGTATTGGTTTATTAGCTCACCTTATGCACGCACTATGCAAATATAATAATTAAGAAAAATTTTATCCAGTCCAGTATTCGAAAACAATCCTTTAATTAAAGGATTGTTTTAGAAGTGTGCCGGGAAGCCGCGGCTGTTCCACACACTTTGGCCTATCGGCGACTATCAAAGATGTAATTAAATAAATCATATCATCAACTACTGTAACAGTTGGACGCCTACGCCTATGTTTAACAAATTATATTTTAGGATGTTTTTTGATAAACAATATTTTAGTTGTATTTTTTATTTTACCTAGATAAAATGCCCGTTTAATGTGTATTATTAATCTGACTTTTAAATGCTAAGCAGTCGGGGGCCCGTTTGGATGGCGGGGCCTGGGGATATAGCCCCCAATGCCCCCCTTAATCCAGAGCTTTTGGGAGGTGCATATAAACAATTTGAATGAAAGGATTAGTTCATCTTGTTACTTAATATGATCGTTGATATACTCAATTTCATATTCAATTTTGATATTATTATATTTTGTAGCTGTGCAATCACATTTTGTGTATATATATATTTTGGGGTTGAGCCCATTCTAATAAAGCTTTTATTACACAAAAAAAATTAAGGTACCTTCATTGTCAATAACGATTTCACATTTTATTGTAAATCATTGTGTGTTAAATATAAGATTTTAACTTTGCATTCATTTTAAATTTAATTGTATACACTGCAAAAAATAAAAGTATTTTTTTAGAACAAAATAACATGCATAAATATTTAACAAGAGCAAATAATAACTTTGTGCTTTCTTTTTAAAGGCTCTCAATAGCTCAAACATCACATGTATAATATACATTGTATGGGAACAAAATGTTGTAATAAGGTAAATAAAATAGTTTTGAGTTGAAATAACAATAAAATTTTTAAAATGAGGTTACAATACATATTTTTGGATAAAGTTTATTATTCAGTGGAAGATTTTTTAATGATAGTTTTTATATTCATATTTTTCATATTCTACTTTTAATTAGACGTCCAAGTGAACAAGGTGATAAGGGACCGTTCATTAATTACGTGAGGTGTTTAGGGGGGGAGGGGGTCGAGCCAAACTTCACCAAATCTCACGTGGGGGGGAGGGGGGTCTCGGCAAATATCACGTAATTTTTTTTTTCCGAAAGAAAGAGTGTAAAATTGCGAGAAAACTGGGTTAAATTAAGTAAACAATTATAAGCAAATTGTTTTTTTTAATAAATCTAATGGAATCAAGCACAGATTAACTTATTTACATTAAACCATGCATTTTAAAAAATCTCACGTGAGATTAAGGGGGGGGAGAGGGGGTCGAGCAAAATCTCACGATATCTCACCAAGGGGTGGGGGGGGTCGAAAAATCGTCAAAATTGTCTCACGTAATTAATGAACGGCCCCTAACCACCTTTAGTCAGTGACTTTGAAATGGAGGTGGGTAACGACCCATGACATGGTGGATACCCTAGGGTCTTAAATCCTTAAAAACCGTATGATTTACTTATAATTATTTTAAAATTAAAATGATTTAAAAAAAGGTCGAGGTTTTTAAAATTCTGTTTTAAAATGTTTGTTTACTACCGGTTTTCAACAAAAAAAAAAAAAAACAAATTTAGAATGTGATTTTATAATTAGAAAGAACAGCCAATTTACGTAAAAAACATGTCTCATATTTTATTGTAAATTTGTTTAATTTAAAAAAGCTTCCGAAAAATCCGCACTTCAAATTACGTCAACCTTAAAAACTAAGCCTTATCAAAAAAATTGTTGGATTTTTCCCGCTTCACATGAAATGCCCCATACTAAATATCATAAACGGCTATAAATTCGGATATGCATTTCTGATATAAGCAACAAAACATAAAAAATTGTAAATCGAAGTATACAGCTTGTATATTTTATAAAAATAATCCCTTTTTTATTTTTAGTGAACAATACATGGGAATAAAACCACCAGTTTTACGTTCGGAGTTGGATTTTGATCCTGGTTCCAAATATCATGTACCAGCAAATATTCCTTATATAAGGTAAGTGTTTTAACCATAAAACTTTACATACTTACAAAAATATAAATTTTATACTTACGTATCTTATTTTATTTTATAATGCATTTTACGTAACCGCTGTTATTATAATAATAGCATTAACTAAGTTAATTAGTGAAATTAAATGCAAAAGAATATTGAAACACATTAACATAAAACGAAATACAAACATTTACCTTATTTTTCACTAAAATTAGATTTTGTAATATGCTTATTAAAATCATTGATTGCAAAATTATTGTTAAAAAATCATGTTTCCTTTTTACTATACTTTACAGTCTAATTCATCTAGAATATTTTTATTGCTTAAAGATTGTTGTTCTTAATTACACACTAGAAATTGCATACATATCCAGTAACAGCAGGTAATTATATTGTGCCAGCTGTTTTTAAGTAACAAATGTTAATTATAGAGCAATAAGATTTCCACTTCCAATCTCAATAAAAAGTATTTTTCTAATTGTATTATATCAATTATATGAATTGTTGTAGAGAAAAAAATATTTTTATTTTTATATTCATTTATTTTTTTATAATTTAAACAAATTTTTATAAATAAGAAAATATCATTTATTAACAAATAAAGACTTAAAAAGAAACAACATAATACTGAGAGGAAAATAAAAGATTCAGGGAATATCACTTAGTGGAAATTAGTGACCACCATATTCTTCGCCGCCGCCTTCATGGCCGCCTTCTTCATGGCCACCATAGTCTCCTCCGTGCTCTCCACCGCCTCCCTCGTAACCGCCGCCCTCGGAACCATGTCCATATTCTTCCTCGTGATGGACTGGAACGTGAACGGGTACTTTTACTGGTACTGGAACGTGTTTTTCTACTACGTAGGGCACCTTCTTTTCAACGGTGTAAGGGACTGGGTTGAAAATTGGTACTTTAACTGGGTAGGGCACTGCTTTTTCTACTGGGTATGGTACTTTCTTCTCCACTGGATAAGGAGCTGGCACAGGCACTTTGACTGGATAAGGTTCTGGTTTTTCTACTGGGTATGGGATTGGTCTGTCAACATGTATTTTGACTGGGTATGGTACTGGTTTCTCGACTGGGTATGCGACCTTCTTTTCAACGTGCACTGGGTATGGCTGTGGTACATGTACTGGGTATGGTCTGTCGACATGTACTTTGACTGGGTAGGGAACGATTTTTTCAACTGGGTATGGTTTGGGTATGTGTACTGGTACTTTAAATGGATAGTGCACTTTTTTTTCTACTGGATAAGGTTGTGGAACAATTACTTTGTATGGGACATGGACGGTTTTTTCAACTGGGTAGGGTTGTGGGACCAGAACTTTAACTGGGTATGGCTTGTCGACATGCACCTTCACTGGTACATGAACTGGTTTTTCAACAGGGATAGGTTTGTGGATAGCTACAGGTACTTTAACATGTACAGTGTATGGTACATGAACCTTCTTTTCAACTGGGTAGGGTTGTGGAACTGGCACTTTGACAGGATAATGTACAGTTTTCTCTACGGGATATGGAACTTCCTTTGTAACTGGATAAGGCACTGGAACATTTTTATAGACCGTTACGGTCTTAACATGTTCTTCGTGGCCATGACCACCATAGCTAAGTCCATGTTCTTCACCACCGCCGCCACCGAAATCGTGACCACCACCGTAACCTAATTCGAGTCCGCGTTTTTCCTGTTTCTTTTCGGACTCTACTGGTTTACTGTCTGTGATCTTTTCATCTTTCTTTTCGCTGGCGTTCGATAGTAGAAACACTGCACATAACGTAAATATGCCCTGCAACACAAATAGAAACAAGTGAGTGAGATTAGACGACACACGCCATGCCGGTAATAAATGCACTAGGATTTCACTTGGATTTTCTATTGCACATTGCCACTTTGATACTTACCAGAAGATTCATTGTATTAATTGTAAAAGTAGAAACCCGACTGAATACCTTCCCGGAGGTTCATTGAACATTTATAAGAACCACTTTCGCTATATACGAAGGGGGGCTATGAAGCGCCTAGCTGCACAATACACCCTCCTTTCTCGAAAGTTAAGAACATCCGCTTATAATTAAGTAATACATTTCCAATTAAACTACTTACTCTAGTAAACATATCTTTTTTTTTTAATTATTACATAATTATAATCCAATACTTAAATATTTTTTAAAACAAAGAACTTTTTAATTGTTTAATAATTCGTGTAATTAATCAATGAATTTCGTAGAGAAACTGTATTTTAAAATGTTAACCGTTTTAAAATTTAGCTTGAGTAATATTAATTATTATTTCTTTATTTTTTTAAGTTTATCAAAAAGTTATTGTTGTTTCCTTTAGTAATAATAATAATTAATAATATTATTAAATAATTAATAATAATAATGTTAAATTTTTAATAATAAGTTTTTTAAAACAAGCTGTCAGAAAATACATATCATGTTAACTTTTTTATTTTGTTCCTATAACAACCGCTTATAGATTTGTTATATTTCGGTTTAAAATTGAAGTGGATAAAGGGGTTAAGTAATATTTTAATAATATATAAATAAACGACAAACATTTTGTAATTGCAATACCAAATTAATTTTTAATTTTACAATATTTTGGTTTTTTATTATTAAAATGTAACTCAACCCCTTTGGCAATATATTATTATTGCAATTGATAAAAAAATACCCCTAATATCACTTGCTATAAAACTAAAACCAAGAAAGCATAAAATCTATGTTTTTAACAAAATAATCCAACAAAATTATCTTTATAAATTATAATCTAATATTATTTATAAAAAACCTTTATCTTACTTTAATCTACCGGACAAAAAGCAAAAGTAATGTTGAAATTTACTTTGATTTAATTTAAAATGCGTATTAAAGTCAATCAAATAGGAGATAGTTACGTCATTTAAATCACTTAAAACTGCTGGCAAACGAGGAATAACATTCCGTTTCCGCATCTTTATTTATTTTCTAAAATGTTCGTTAACTTCGCTAACGTCTTCTGCAAATTAATGAGAGATAAATGCTATTGTTAAAGTAACTATTTTATATTGTTAATATTTTTATATAATATTAATCTTATTGTTTATGAAGGCCACTGAGCTTGCCCGCATTAACGGTACCTCATAAAATTTGATAACAAGTGTAAATAAAAATACATTTTAATTTGTGTGAAAGGAACTGTACTATATTTATCAATTTCATAAGTATTTCCTTTAATGCAAATTTCATGAAATATTTAACAAATTGATAATTATAGTCGCCATTTGATCCGGAATGTTTCCTATCAAGTTACCTAATACTTTACATACACAATAATGGCAAAATGTAGAGCAACCACAAATTACAAATCTCATTTAAACACGTATTTCATTTAATTAATTAAATTATGGATATTATAATATTTTTGTAATAAAAGACAATACCCCATTGTTTGAGTTTAGTAAATTTTACATATTTTAAAAACCATTTCACATTGTACGTATGGTAGGGACGTACCATCAGCTCTGATCATACTTGCCGATTTTCCATACCATACGCGACGTAGGTACTACTTTCACATGCATAACGTCAGTTACCGCCAACACATTGTTTCCATTGTTCTTAATTTCTGATGATGCAGGTAAGTAACTAAACGGCCACTAGTTTGCTAAAAAGGCAACAAGGGAAATAAATACAACGCTGATCATCAGTTCTCATGTAAAACTTTGTCAATAATACGATACACAGCTTTAGGGCCGTCTCTAAGGTTTTGGCCGCTCCGGGCAAACTTGAAACGGCCGCCCTCTCGAAATACACCGCCATAAAAAATACACTACAAATATTTAGAGACATTTAATAAAAAGTAAACTTAAATACTCAACATATCAAAAAAATATATTAAATATAACAAATTTTGTCTATAAATAAAATATTTTATTTTACATATCGCTACCTTGGTTTAAAATGGTGAAATTTTTGCATAAAAAGGTTATACGAGGTGTGTTCAGAAAATAACGGGAATTGTTAAATTTCGCGGTTATCATAAAATTTTCTTTATTATGTTGGTATACATGCCTCCGAAGTATGATAAAAACTTTAGCTGTTTTCATTGTTTACTTTGTCTGTGGAAGCCGCTAAGGTTAGACGTGTTTTATGAGCTAGGCGATTTTTCGTTCGTTAAAAGAAATGGATCAAAGAATTTGTATCCAATTTTGCTTAAAAAAAGAAATAAATTCTGTGAAATGTTAACAAAGGCCTATAGTGAGTCGGCTATAAGTAAAACAAGAGTTTACAAGTGGTATAAGAGTTTCCAAGATGGCCGTGAAGACGTTGAAGATGACGAGCGCCCCGAACGCACAAGCACATTAACGACCGATAAAAACATGGAAAAAGTGGAAGAAATAGTTATAAACCATCAGAGAAGTCGTTGATGATGTTGGTATATCGATTGGCTTATCTCATGAAATTTTTTCGAATGTTTTGGGTATGAAAAGCGTGGCAGCAAAATTTGTTCTATAGAACAAATTTTGCTGCCACGCGTTAAATTTTGAACAAAATTTTTGGCCAAAAACAATACTGTAATGATGCCCCAGCCCCCATATTCGCCAGACATGCCTCTTTCTGACTTTTTCCTATTCCCAAAAATAAAGAGAACCTTAAAGGGCCGTCGTTTTGCAAGCATAGATGACATTAAAAGCGCATCGCTGAAAGAACTAAAGGCTATCCCAAAGATCGAGTTTTAGAAGTGTTTCGAGTATTGGAAGAAGAGCTGGCACATGTGCATAATATCCAATGGGGACAATTTTGAAGGCGACAACATTAATGTAGGCGAATAAATAAATATTTGTTTCAAAAAACGAAAATTCCCGATATTTTCTGAACACACCTCGTATGTACAGGGTTTCCCTATAATGTCGGCCCCCTTTACCTTTTTTATTTTAAGTGTCCCAAAAAATTTAAAAGTGTGGTTATGTCACGGCCAAATCTATATGGGTGCACGTCATCAATGAGATATAATGACGTCAGCATTACCAACTTTGAATTGTAAAGTTACTGCCGTTAAATTTGCTTTTTTAAGGCGTAATTCTGATGTGTTATTAAAAAGAAATCATTCATTTGCGTATTGTTTATCAAGAACTGTAACAATTTCCTTGTTTTAAAACGTTTTTTCACGAAATTATCAAAATAAAACCATTCACTTAGTAATTTTTGTGTGTGCCAGTTGGTAATAGCTTAAGGCTGGCGCGCACCGTTCAATATTATTGATGGGTCGCTGTCATTTTATATTTGACGTATTTTTGTAATTGTGAAATTTCGTCCGGAAGCATCGTTTGTTGCAAATTATTATAAATAATATTATACATTATGTTTATAAGATTCTATCCCTGGATTGTGCAAATAAGGCTGGTTTGCTCTGATGACAAGGACGACTTCTAATTTATTATTTTTGTGTTTCTGATAATTTAGTATTTTTTTTTATGTCCATATGTAATAAAAATGTAATAAACTCCGTTTGTATTCTCTTTAAACACATTTAATAAAAATTTGCCTGTAACAAACTCCTAATTAGTTAATGCAGAAGATTATAACAAGGACGTTATAATTCCATCTTAATAACAGCCCCCACCGCTATAAACAGTCAACAATACACGAGCGTTAGATTGTGTCTGGGCACGTATGAATAGACCTTAACGCTGACGTCATATGCCGTTGATGACGTGCACCCATACAGATTTGGCCGTGACCATAGGTACTAAAAAATACTTTTGTTCTACGTATAAAGAAAATTGAAATATTACAGGGAAAAATAAAAAGTTTATTTTTTTTCAATGGATCACCCTATATATGTATTTATTTTTCGATTCCTTGTAAAATTCTAAGCATATTTCATAAATTCAACCGTTTCTGAAATATTTAAATTATTTTTAAACTGATAAGTTAAAATAGTTTGTCTTTCTCTGTTTGAGTACGCCATTTTTACTTATTTAACAAGACATATTGACGTTATGTCACTATAGTAATTTATTTTCAATAAAAATTTTGATATACTGAGGCTTCTTGATTTATAACAGTATAAAAAAACATGATAACATTTCGAATGCGAATATTTCAGAAACAGTTGAATTTAGGTATATGGTTTGTTATATGAATTATAATTCAATTATAAGCATATATGCTCAGAATTTTACATGGAATCGAAAAATAAATTCATATATAGGGTTATCCATTGAAAAAAAAATCTTTTTGTTTTTCCCTGTATATTGATCAATTTTCCATTTTTTTTTATACGTAGAAAAAAATATTTTAGTTCCTACATAACCAGTGGTTATTAACCACACTTTAAAATTTTTTGGGACACTTAAAATAAAAAAGTTAAAGGGGGGCGACATTCTTGGGGATCACCCTGTACAATATAGAAATATTTTTATTTTTTATCACATTTTCGATAAAATGGCTGATAGAACCATGTTAAACCAAGGTAGCGATATATAACTACATAAGTACATAAGTATAGCTAACAAATTTAAAAACTTGTTTATAATATATACACTAGTATACTATATTCTTCTATGGAAAAAATTAAAGGATCAAAAATTTATTCCAAATTTTTTGCGAGTTTTTTGTTAAAAATGGCTGTATATCGAAGTTTAAAAAAAATCAATTTGAAGCTTCAAGTCTCTAATTTTTGGGCATTAAGACGAAAAATGTTTCCAAGCAACAAGTATCGCGCAATCCTATATATAGGATTCATTATAATGAATATCGTGAAGAAAAAGTTAAAAAAAAATTTTGATTTTATTTTCTTTGTACGGACATTATTTTTTTAAACTAAACCACCATATGGATCGGATAGGTTGTTTATCCAGCTTTAATTTGTTGGCTGATACGACCATTTCTCGCTGAGCTATCGGGCTTTAAGGATCATTTGAATTTGAATTTAAATTGAATTTTTTTTGCAATT